GCTTCAACTTCCAGGCCGGAGGTGACCCGACAGAGTTGCACCAGCCTCGAGCGTAAGTTTGCATTGCGGCAGAAGGCACAACACCGCATGGCCGCATTCAAAAGTGCTAGTGCTGGCAATCTATCAAGATGGGGTTGCTTGCTTGCTTGCTTGCTTGCCTGCTTGCTTGGTGTTTTGTCGTTACGTGCATTTGCGCGTGTTTGCCTGTCTCTACGGTGTCTGCCTCTTGTTTTCCTTGCTTGCTTGTTCATTTCCTTCTTTTCACCTGTTCTTCTTTGTTCCCGGGGCAGTGTTAGTTTAACGCTTGGGGCGCTTGATTACTAAAAACGACACGTGCTGGGCTGGATGGCTGGCACCGGGTTGTTCGGAGATTGCTTCTGCGACAGATTCACTTGTCCCCAGGGTCGGTGGCCAGCGCAGGGTCTTGTGAGTCTTCAGGGAGTTGCATCTGAACTGTATATCTAAACATGCTCCCTTGGACAATGGGGCCAAAGCCTTTCCCAGTGTTTTTGTTGGCTTGCTTGTGTTTGCTTGTTTGTTGATTTGTGTGTTCCCTTCCTTGTTGTTTGTTTCTTCGTTTTTTTTGTTTTTTTGTTTTTTGTTTTTTTAAGGCATGTATACAATGCAAATCGAATTGCAACGCTTCCAGGCCCTGCTTTCTAAGTTAGTTCGTTTTGTTCGTTTGTTTTGTTTGTTCCGCCGGTTTTTTTTGCGTCGGGGCGGTTCGCGCTCTTTGGCCCGGGGTTTCTCCAGCCGGAGGCGCTTTCTCCCACCGGGGCTCGCGGAGGCCAGGCGCGAGGCTTCGACGCGAAGTCGCTGGTGAACTCAGTCGCTTCAAGTCGCGAAGGACGGTGAAAGTCCAGGAACTTCGGTACAGACACTGTGTTGCAAGCTCGCGAACAGAAGGGCAGAGAGAGAGAGAGGAAAAACCTGCGTGCCAGGGACAATGTGCGCGCGCGCGTGCTGTGGGGAAACAGAATTGTAAAAAACGAGGCAACCCTCTGCCGTTTCAGCTCCTCGGGTAGCTGAAAGTCAGCCTGATCGTGTGCAGAGCCGGGCCCACTGAACCCCCCCTGTCAGGTTCCATGTTCACTGGTGGGAGGGTATATCCCCCTTTTAATCTGCTCTAGGGAATATCCTTACAATAACAATAGGCAGGCAGGTAGGTAGATAGAAAGATCGATGGTTGGACAGGTAGAAGGGTGGGTAGAGAGACGGAACGATAGCAAAAAGGAAAGAAGTGAAAAGAGAAAGAACAAGAAGAGAACGAGAAAGAACAAGAAAGAGAAAGAAGCAGAGACAAAAGAGAAAGAGACAGAGAAGAGAGAGAGAGAGAGAGAGATAAAGATAACTATATGTCTTTTGTTTTTTAACGCTTCCGCCCACCAGCTTCGCCGGTTCTATAGCAGCATTATCGGTTGTGTCCCGCAAATGACAGTTGTTGCACACAGAGTGTCTTGGTTGGACATGCTGGTCACCTGGGTCATCAAACGTCCGCGGCCAGATGGTAGTGACAATCTGTCGGGCAAATGCAAGCGGCGAAACGCGTTGGTAGGTCGACGTCACCTTTTGCACCGCCGCCACCTTCGACAATGACTGCCGCCATTTGGGGTGGAGGCATTGGGTGCTCACCAGCCAGATGAAACTGATCGCAACCTGGTGGCCCCGCTCTGGCAGGCTCAGCTCGGCTGCCTTCTCGAGCCTTTGTTCCAGAGTCAGGCGGGGGCTGCAGAATGTGTTTCCAGCGCGCCGTTCCTGACGCAGAGGCTCCCTTGTTGGTTCTGGCGCGGTTGCCAAGAATAGCTGGGTGCGATGGGAACAGGGGGAAACTGCGCGTCTTCCTGTTGCGCATGTTCGCCATTGAGCCTGGACACAGCGAAACCGAAAGACGCAAAGAGCCAAACAGAATTCCGAGGTGTGTTCAAACATACTCTTCAGCAGGTCCACGTCGGAGAGATCGTAATATGCTGGCCCTTCTGCACGCCGAGGCAGATCTCCAATTCCGTGCACGACAATTCAGCAGAGCAGTCAGATGAACCAAAAGGACCAGGACGGGATGTTTCAGGGTGCTGGGCGCATGGTCAGATTGGCTTCAGATGGGAGTTTTAGCAGTCCAAACGGTGGTTTGTTTACGGAACTTGTGAGGGGGGTTGTTTTAGAGGGAAACCTAGGCATTTGGGGTTGGACACACTGTTTGAGCTAGAATATTCGCGTAGACCCACTGCGCCGGGCCGTGCACAATACTGACCGTCAGAGAGCTCTTCGGGACAGCGCAGGAGAGAGAGAGAATGATGGATCATATCGGCCTAGTGGCTTGTCTCTTGAAACGCTCGCCCAGAAACAAAACGAGCTGTCATCGCAAAAACAAGGCAAACAAACACGCGAAACCCAGCACGAGAGAGGAGCATGTGGCAGAGACTGCAGCAGGGTGTAGGTTTGTTTGTTGGGCTTGGCTTAGGGTAGGCTCATGTTGTGGCGGAGGTAGCGCATGCTTTGTATTTGCTTTCTCTGGCAACCAAAGCTGAACTGGTGGTTCAGGAGCTAACCCCCCAGGCTTCTTTCGAACAGTGCAACTAGTCAATGCAACTGACCATATGGCCGTGGCATAAACACGTGTACCAAAATGGTACTTCGGCAAATGGAACCTTGACTGCTATTGGGTTGGATCTTTAGACTTTGACTTTTTGGGAAATCAAGGCGTTTTCCACTAAACCCCCAAAAGGTTAAACTTTTGCAGGGGGGTCAACAGCAACCAAGGAACCAAAAGACTAACACTTGCACCACGCCCATCTGGGGCTCTGACGGAGACGTGGGCGCGCCCTGCGCCCGCGGAGACGTACAGGAGACCGCCAGGCTGGAAGCGATGCGCCTGGCTGTGGCCATGGCACGGCAACCGCCCCTCGGCTGCAGGTCATTCCAGCTGGGCTTCCATCTTTGGGTTGATTCAAGGCAGAGCCTGTCATTCTCACCGGCAACCAGCTTGGGTGTCTTCTGTCTTTTTCTTCTTTTATTTTTGGGGGGGAGTCGGGAGGGCGGGTAAAGGTAAGAACGGTCAAATGCTTTGCGTGCGAAGAAAGCGCCGGGAACTCTAGGCCTTTCCTCTGAGGCCAGGGCCACCAGCCCCGCTCGAGGGCGAAAGCTGCCGGGCCAGGTTTGGATTCGTCGATTCGTTGCCGGGCTGTTGTGAAGTGTTCGGGAGCCGCTGGGGTCATCCTGTGACGAGTTGTTTTTTTGGTTTCTGTTTTTTGTGGTTTCTGCTTCGCTGCTCGGCATGTACCCCTTTTCCCCCGGCTGGGGAAAGGGCTCGCGTGTCCTAAGGCGGCCGCATGGCGATTTGAGCGCCATCTCTTCCTTCAGCTCCGCCCAGTGCGGGTGGGCACAGCCAATGCTTGCAGACCCCAGTGCCAGTTGACCTGTCGTAAATGCGGCTGCCTGTGGACTGGGGGTTGCGCACTTGTATCACTTACGCGAGGGACCCGCCCGACTGGAGGCATGTGGAAACAATGGCGCCTGGTCCATGTTGGTCCTTGTTTGGGAGGTGTTTTTAAGCTTTTCGTGATGTGCCTTGCACATGGAAGCTCCTTCATGATTGCTTTACGGAATCAGATGATTGTAACAGACGGGTTGCCAAGACTATGGCCCCTTTTTGGACTGGCAGTTAGGACCCCCAGGTGATTCAGGCCCTCCTGCGTAGCAGCTGTGTGGGGTTGCTGCTACCTCCGTTCTTGCGACTGGCCGCTGTGCACTGGCTTGAGTTAATTCAGTATGAATGTGCAAAGTATGAGGGTGCAATGTTGGTGCTGATGATGCCAGGCTGCGTACAAATCAAATTTGCCTCCCCCCCCCAAAAAAAAAGAAAAGAACATCAACAACAAAACAGAGGAACAACTAGTTGTGAAGAAGAAAGCGGCCACTTGGACGTGCAATGAGACATCTCAGACGAATTTTCCCAAGTTCGGCGTGACATTGGCGGGAATGCAGCGGCAATCCTGCGTGCCGTCTCACTGACGCCTATGGAGCTCCCAGTCGTCAGGGGCCCGGCATGTGAAGATTCGAAGAAAAGCATGTGTGATTGATACACAGTATGTTTCCGCTGCCTACCTGTCAGTGCTAGGGAGGGAGGGAGGGAGGGAGGGAGGGAGGGAGGGAGGGAGAGAGAGAGAGAGAGAGAGAGAAGGGAGGGAGGGACATCTAGGGGAGGGGATGCAACAGGGGATGGAGAGGGGATAGGGAGAACAGGATTCAAGCTCTGCAGCCTGCACCTTTATTCCAGGCGGCCTCTCCTCGTTGCACTAAACAGGGTGCAAAGTTGTTTTTCAGTGTCGATCAGTTTTTTGCTGAGTGGTTTTGTCAAAATGCGATTGGATTTCCGCTACCCTGCGCATTGCATCCTGATGAAACCGTATCGCACGTGTATGGAAACATGAGACATACACCTATAAATTGGGTATCACTTGTACCAACCCGACAAACACATATATTTTGAACACGGACAATTTGGCCGCTTGCATACAAGACATACACTTATCTTAGTCACCTATGTCCATCCTGAACTGTACATGTCTAGAACACAATTCCATACGTTTGGCTGTTATACGGGCGTGGGTCAACAATTACCTCTAGGAGGCCGCAGGTTTTAGTCCATGTTGGCATTTACCAGGGTTCCTTTTGGGGTTGCCCTATTTTTGGACCCACACCCATCAACGAGAAGACACCGCTTTTTCCCCTGCGCCTGTGCATGGCCCAGCGCGTGATCCGCCTCAATGGGGTCCCCCTGGAGCTGCAGATGGACACGGGCGCCAAGGTGAGCGAGCTGCCCGGGTGCCCGGTGGGGCCTTGGGGCTGGCGCTGCTGACGCTGGGGGGGGGTGGTTTGGACGGATGGATGTGGGTTGGCTCGGCTTCTCTCGGCTTAGCTCGGCTTTCCTTGGCATTGGATGTCCTAGGCGTGCGGCACAGTCTTGACATGAGTTCACGGTTTCTCTGTTTGCAACAGGCGCTATGAAGCGGTACGGAGGTCGTGGCCATGTCCGGATGCAACATTGGGAGCAAACCAGAGGTGGAATGTGTTTGGCTTTTTGTTCCTTGGAAGTATCCAAGGATGACATCACGGTATTGGGCAACCATTTCAAGTTTCTCTGGTGTTGCACGTGGTTGGGGGTTTCCAACAGTTTCTTTTCAATGCGGCCACGGGAGTGGCCTTGTGGGGCTACAGGACCTACTTGTTTTCGTATGTGTTCGTTTTCGCAACCAGGTGGTTTAGCCCTCAAGAACGATGTTGCTCTGAACTGGCTCAACGTAAATTAAGCCCGGTTGTTTTCAGCGCTTTTATCCGCACAAAGCAGGACACTCTCTCTGTTCTGCTTAATTGTCCTTTGGGCACTTGCATACCGCCCTGGATTACAGAACCACGTCAATACGCAACACACCCACCCCTCTTGTTGGCCCTTGATTCATTTCCGCGCGCTCATGACCCAGGAAGCTGCTTTTGCAGGAATCCTGTGGTGTGGCGTATTTCTGCCAGAAGCTCATGCTTGGGCACACGCTTCTCAAGAACACAGCTCCTCAGCTGCAAGCAGACAGGGCACAAGCATTTAGACTGCGCATGCACCTGTATGCAAGTCTGTATTCTCCACAATGATATAGATAAATAGCTGCAGGAATTCTGGAGTGGGCACTGGCAAGTTGAAGCAGCCGGGGCATTCAATTGCTTCACGCATCTGGGGAAGTCACCCAACGCCAGGAGGTGTTGGCAAGCCTTCCCCAGCCGCTGAGCCTTGCGCCCAGTTTTCGCAGGGTTTCCAGCCCTTGCTGGAGGATGCGGAATGCTGGTGAGAGTTCCGGCAAGTCTGTTCTTGAGGTGGCTTTTAGGCTACTGGGAGTTACTTCTCATGAAGCCGTGAACCAGTTTCCCGAGAACTTGTGCTGACAAATGTCGTTTGAAGATGATGCTCGCGCTTTGCTGGCGCAAAGGCACCTCTTTTTCCCCAGAAGTGCGTGACAAGAATTCGCTCCAGGAAGGCATCAGCCGCAACAGAACCAGCAAACAGCGTGGGTACCTGCCTTGAGCACAACCCCCAACCACCCCGACACCTTACCCAGAGAATGCTCAAATCCTTTTCCTTTGCCTTGGGGTTGGCTCGGAAGCCAAGCTTCCCACTGAGCCCTCGGCAGCGGAGGCCTCAGCCTGGTGGTGGATTCCTTCCACCCGGAGATGGCTTCGCAGCTGCGGGACGCGGCCCGGCACGGGGATTTGAGGGCGCTGGAGCTGGTGCTGGGTAGCCCTGCGGATCCCAACCAGGCGCAGTGAACGGGCTCGACGGGTTCGACTGGGGTTCCAGGCGGGAGGAAAAAGAAACTCAGGAAGGCATGAAGGTTCATTTGACGCACGCGGCTGTAAGGAAATCAGGAAACCTTCTAAACACGAGGAAGCTCCCTCGGCCTTTCCAACAGGTATGTTTGCCCCTGGGAGCATGCCACTCCCAAATTGGGAGAGCCCGGACCGCATTGCCAGCTCGGGCGAGGGCGCCATGTTTTTGGATACGCCTGTGAGGGCAACTCCTGAGCCCGGCCGGCCTGGGATAGGACCATTGGTTGAATGAGTGGCACTAATAGGCAGAGGTGAGCCCCGCAGCCAGCCAGATCAGGCGCCACGCGGCGCCGGCCCAGTTTTTTTTGCACGTTGCCATGACCGCCTTTGATGCCTTCCGTTTGGCACATGGCAATCGTTTTGCACAGCCTCTGGGCCTTCAACGGTGCAGAGAGAGCCCACGTGCAGCACAGAGAAGAGGCTGGCCTTTTAGTGGCCGAGCATCTTGCCTGCAGGTGGACGAGCATGGCTGGACCCCCATGATCATGGCTGCGCACGCGGGCCATGCGGAGGCCTCGTGCCACTGGAATTTTCGCAACTTGAGCTTCCGCCACTGAACTCCCGGAAGTTGTTGGACTGGATGGACTGTCTTTGCCCATTTCTCTACAAGCAGGAGGCTCTTGGTTGCTTGTTTGTTTGTGTCTTTCTTTGTTTGCCTGTTTGTTTGCTTGCTGCCTTGCTTGTTTGTTTGCTTGTTTGTCGGCTTGGTCGGTCGGTTGGTCAGTTGGTCGGTTGAAAAGTCGGTCCGTTGCTTTGAAGGATCCGAGATTGGCTCCGAGCAGGTGCTTCGGCTGCTGCACAGAGCAGCGGCCGAGCTGGAGCTCGCCACGCCCCACGGGCGCACGCCCCTCTTCGTGGCCTGCCAGCGGGGGTGCCGCGGCCGAAAGCGGTGAACGCCTAGGGCAAAAACTGGCTGATGCTCAGGGGATGAGAAATGGAATGACCCCTATACACCATCCAACTGGTGGTTTCCTCTAAGGCGCTCAGCAAGAAAACGCCTCTGAAGTGACTGAGCCAAGTGACTTAGGGACTTAGTGACCCAAGTGACTACGGGCCCGGCTTTAGTTGGGCAGGTGAAGAGAATTTGTGGTGGCTGGGCCTTTGCATATCTGTGGTGCTGCTATGGCTTGATTGCCTTGTCTGTGTTGGCTTCTGAGGAATAGGGATGCTGCGCAGGTGCGGTGGGCGTGTGACAGGGAGTGGGGCGGGGTTTCAGGAGCCGTGGCTGCTTGGCGAGCCATTTCGAGTCACCCGGCAGGTGCTTTGCGAGCTGAGAGCTGACATCGAGAAAGCAAGGCCCCAGCTCAATGGCAGGGTGCGAGTCAGACAAGCTCTGGTAGTTCTCGCCACTTGTAATTTGCGGCGTTTGTGGCGTTTGCGGCGTCTGCGGCTTGCACGTTGCCTGATGCTCTGATGCTTGGACGCGGTTGTATCGAGAGGAGTGGCGGGCATACGCCGCTGCTGGCAGCCTGCCGCGAGGGGCATGCAGAGGTGGCCCAGCTGCTTTGCGAGCAAGGTGCCGACAAGGCTGGCGTGTTGCCGCAGAAGACGTGTGGCCTCCATATTTGGTGAATGTGTAGGCACTGACAAGGGGGGTTGTTGTCAAATGCAAGACGGGCATGATGTAAGGCATGCTTCTGAAGGGCCTAAGGCAAAAGGAATTACTGTACTCGCATCGCACGAAACGCAGCGCAAATGGGCTGTAAACACGAGGATTCCGCACCACATGCTGCATAGGTGATGAGGTTTTCGAACACACTGCGCGCGCCGGCAAAAGGAACCATGAGGCCTGCAAAAGGGCGGCGACAGGCCCTCGATTGGCTTAATTCCAGGCACCGTTGACCCGCTTTGCACCTCAAGTTTCGGATGCTTTGCGTAGGAACGGGTGGCGCTGCATGGCTGGACGCCCTTTCTCCTGGCCGCCCGTCATGGGCACACTAGTGTCACCAAGGCGCGCATGCGAGCCCTGAACTAGGCAAAGGCACTTGTCAGTTCAAGCTCTTCTGGGACGATGGGGACGTTTAGTGGCAGTTCTTCGTTGGTTGCTCCAGTTTTCTCGGCTCCTGCCAGGTTCTTCGAGAAGCAGGGGCGCACCAGCCCAGGACTTTCCTTCTGAGTGCCTCGTTCTTGCGATGCATTTCCATTGCAGGACCTTGCCCGATGGCACATCAGCCATGCATATGGCATCCGAGAGAGGCAACGAGGAGTTAGCAGCATTTCTCGCACCTGACTTGGAAGGGTGGCAGCAAGCTGTGACACGTGATGGAGAAGGAAGGAGGCCTTTTTTCCGCTGCGCCAAGGTAAGCAGCGGGGCCGAAGTGGACAAGGTTGGCTTAGCATGCGCTTGGGGGTGTCCTTAGGGCTGGGAAGTGTCAGGCAGGATCAAATGTATCGGAGAATCAGGCTTGGCAGTTTGTTGTTTTCCACTTCTAGTCGTTCATTGCATGAATTGCACGCACATTCAGGTTCAACTGGCTGGCTAAGGTAAAAGTTGGCAAGATTTGGTCGGAAACAGCTTGGCATAGAGCCAGCCATATGTCTGCCATCATTTGTAAAGGCGCCTCCCAGCGAGGGGAACGCGGAAGGCAGCTGGTTTGTGTCCAATTCTAAGGGGTGGCCGGCGTCACGTGGGGAACGAGGCATGAGCCCTGCGGCGCTTCGGCTCCAGGATGCCTTGTGTCTGCATCGCAGGCAGTAATGCTATCCCAAGGGGGGCGAACACCACTTTAAAATTTTTTGGGGGGGGGATGCTCCAAACCAGCGGGCACCCCATAGGTGTCCGAAATTTGGAGACAATCACACACACACAGGCAGAGAGATGGGTCAGCGCGAACGCATTTAAAACTCACATGCCCCTGTCCTTGTCAACAGCTTGACGTGCATCTTTCATCGCCTGGGCCTCAGGTGCAAGCCAGAGCACAAGCTTGCCGCGGGCGAAATGTTGCAGCAGCATGCCGAGGCACAGGCTCGAGCATCCCCAGCTAAAGAGCAGGCCTGCTACTGGGTGCGTGCAGACGCCATGGCCGCCCCGGAGCCAGTGGACATGATGGTGATGGCCTGTCAGGACCAAACCTGCGACTTCAAACCGATGAAGATGCAGAGACGGCCGCTTGGGGATGAGGATGTTCTCATCCATATGGCCTACTGCGGTGTGTGCCACACGGATTTGCACATCGCTGCCAATCATGCAAAAAATGTACAGCCAACGGTCTACCCCTGCGTCCCGGGCCATGAGCTTGCTGGCGTTTGCATCGCTGTTGGGCCCAAGGTGACCAAGGTGAAGGCAGCGGGGGAGTGGGTACTTTTGAAACGCAGGTCTTCTTTTGCCTGACAAAGGCTGTGCCAGGAGTGTGATCATGGAGCAGTCATGGCGCTTGGCAGGTTAGTCTGCCGGCGTTTGGTTGTGTCCAAGATGGCGCAGTCACAACTTATCCCGGCAAGAGGCCGCAACTAGATTTGAGCGTGGCAACTTGACGACGGGTGATCCGGAATCATAGAAACACGTTAAATAGACTCTGACACCTCCCCCGCCTGATGAGCAACAAAACGTAAACACGTCAACGTCCCTGCTCCAGCAAAACCTCTGCAAGTTCCGACGGGCGAGCTTGGCATCATGCTTCACAATCTCTCCCGTCAACTTCTCGTGCGCGCGATGCTGCAAATTGAAGCTGTGGGTGAAGCTGTGTGTGATGCTGCGCATGATGCTGCGCATGATGTTGCGCATGATGCTGTGCGCAACGCTGTGCACGATGTTGCCCATGATGCTGCGTGTGATGCTCCCTCTTGCGCGTGGTGCTCTGCAGCCTCGCGTGCCCAATCTGTCATGCCCGTTTCTCTTGTCAACCTCTCTCTCTTGTGCATGTCTGTGCGCAGTTTGGCTGCGCGAGAAGGCTGGCGGCTTTATCTGCGGAAGTGTACTTCGCATGCTACTTCTGCTGTTTTCGAGCTGGAGGTGCGGAAGTGTAATTCTCGTTCTGGTCAAGTTGCGATTTCCCAGCTGGAGATGCGCGAGCGAGCTTTCCGTTACACGTTGTGGCATTGGAGCGCCTTTTGCAGGCAGGAACTTGCAATTTTTCAGACGGAGCCGCGGGAGCGCACTTTGCGTACTACTTTTGCGCTTAAAAGTTGCGAATTTCGAGGTTGCGCTACGAAGTTGCGCTTTTCGAGCCAAAGCTGCTCTTCGCGTACTACTTGCGCGCTTGAAAGTTACGATTTTGCAGCCGGAGCTGCGGGAATGCGTTTCGCGTACTACTTTTGCACCTTCAAGCTCAGGGTTCTGCAGCCGGAGCTCTGTGAACGCTTTTCAAGTACTACTTTTGTACTTAAAACTTGCGATTGTTCAGACGTGCGCCTTGCGTACTGCTTTTGTACTTAAGACATACTATTTTCAGCCGAGGTGCGGGAGCGCGCTACGCGTACTACTTTTTGTACTTACATGTCGAGTTTCGCGCCAGGCTGCGGAAGGGCGCTTCGCGTACCACTTTTGCGCTTAGAAGTTGTGATGTTGCAGCTGTACCTGCGGGAGCGCTTCGCGTGCTACTTTTAAGGGTATAAGGATGCGATCTGCCGCGGGCCAGGCAGGCGGAGCCCGAGACCACGCGCGATCGTGAAAGCAGGCGAGTGAACCACGAGACGGGCGCTGAGACACGCAGGGTGCGCCTCGCCGCAGCGAGAGCGCTTCGACACGCACGATCTCGGACGGGGTTCGCCAGGCTTGAGACACATTCGCACCGCGCAACAGCGAGAGCACTTCGATACGCAGGATGTCTACAGAAGAAGAGGGTTCGCCAGGCTCGACACACATTCGCGCGGCGCCACAGCAAGAGCGCTTGGACGCGCAGGATCTCTGCAGAAGAAGAGGGTTTGCCAGGCTCGACACACATTCGCGCGGCGCCACAGCAAGAGCGCTTTGACACGGGCAACCTCCGGCGAGGGTTCTTCGAGCATAAGACAACACATTCGCACGGCGCCACAGCGAGAGTTGCCGAGCCCGACCGAGACGCAAGTGCGCACGGCGCTGCAGCGAGAGTTCTTCGACACGCACGATCTCCACATGAGCTCAAGACGCATTTGCGCAGCGCCGCAGCGCGAGCGCTTCGATGCGCAGGACCTCTGTTCAGGTTTCACTTTTGTCTTGCAGCGCTTGCAAGTGAGTGAGACTCTGTGCCTGCCACGAAATTACAGACTGTTTCTGAAAATGCCGCGCTAGCCACGCGACCCATCGCGAAACATACTGCACCCACTACAAAGCACGCGCCAGTCTCACAGCATGCTGCACTGTCCATGGAATCCAGCTGCCAACACACAAATCGAAGACTTTCGCGGGGCCACAGCCAGAGTGCAGTTTTGAAGAAAGGTCCGGAGCAAACGAAGCTGTCGCGCGCAAGACAACTTCTCGCGAAAGCTGCCGTGGTTTTAGAGCTCCGATTGCCCAAGCGTCGTAGCCTGACCCGACAAGGACAAGGAGACATCCACCGCATAGGGGCCCTGCCAGCAAAAGCGCGCTTTGCCCTCAAAACGCGTTTGGAACGAGGCTTCCTCAGATAACACGCGGCGCATCGTAGTGCAAACTTCCGCGGACCAGCTCCTTGCCATCAAATGTGCACTTTGCTCAAAAATGAACGCGTTTGACGCGAGGCTTCCTGAAAAAACATAGCGCGAACCCATAACATCTTATAGCTGTTGCACCTGCCAGCAAAGGCCGAAAAATGCGCACGGCGCCATAGCGAGAGCGCGCCGCCAGCGCGAACCCCAATAATTTTGAGCGAGACTGTCGCATCGAAGGCAACTTTCCGGCCAGCATTTTGAGCGCGAACACTCGATCTAACCCGTCCTTAGCTCTTACCGGAACAACCCCTTAGTGTAAACACATTTGGGGAATTGTGCGTTTCCCTACTGCAAACTTGCAACTTGACTTTTGCGCGGCGTTTGGGGAAACAAAATGTTCCCGCTATGCGGCCAGGTGGGCGACCACGTCGGCGTGGGCTGCATGGTGGACTCCTGCTTGAAATGCAGCGCCTGCAAGAAAGGGGAGGAGAACATGTGCAGAAAAGTGAACACCGCCACGTACCAGGGCAAAAACACCCACGGTCGAGCTGCATCATTTCCAGCCGGTGGTGTGACCGTGGGTGGGTACTGCACCAAGATGGTGGTGCACGAGCATTTCGCCATTCTGATACCGAAGAACTATCCCTTGGAACTCGCCGGTCCGGTTATGTGCGCTGGTGTCACCATGTATGAGCCTTTGCGTTACTACAAAGCTGGGCCCGGGACCAAAGTTGGAATCGTAGGCCTGGGTGGTTTGGGCATCACAGGCATCAAAATCGCCAAGGCGCTGGGCTGCCACGTCACTGCCATCAGCCGAGGAGAGAAGAAGAAGGCGTTGGCCATGAAGGTCGGGGCCGACAGTTTCGTCTCCTCCACTTCCGAGGAGCAGATGGCTGGTGCGGGCAAGTCTTTTGACCTCACGCTCAACACCATCCCCGGCCCGCATGATCACACCCCTTACCAGAAGCTGGCCAAAGTTGGGGGCAAATGCGTCCTCCTGGGTGCACACAGCGCTATGATTGCGGCAGCGGTGTTGGTCGACCCCATTACAGGTGGAAGGTCGACGATGACTGGCTCGATGATAGGGGGCATCAAAGCGACCCAAGAGGTGGTTGACTTGTGTGCAAAGCATCAGATCATGCTTGAGCACAAAGTGGTGCCAGTATGGGAGGTCAACACGGTCTTCGAGGCTTTGGACAAAGCCAACGACGAGGGCTTGCGCTATGTCCTTGATCTGAAGAAGACCCTCCACGAGAACACTGCCGCGATGTGCACACTGCCGCCCCCGCAGCTGTCGGAGCCTGATCCAAGGACCACAGTGTCTGTTGGCCGTATTCTGTCAAGCTGCTTCTCAATGCTTTTCGTGCACTGGGGTTGCAGGCGCATATAAGCCGCCTGGCCCTCGTCACCTTTGCCAATGCAGAAAACTCACTTGTGGCTGTTCCTTCGGCCTGGGCATGGCCCTCGTACCTTAACTGGAAAAAGCAGCGTGCCGGTGCACCAATGCATCATGGCTAGGTGTCCTGCTTGGTTGTTTTGCTAGAAAAATAGATGGCCCTGGTTTACCTGGTGGTTTAGTCATCTACCAGGGCCATCCATCTCCCTTAAAAGGACACGGCATTCCGTGTCACACGGTGCTGGACTCCAAGCCGCTCCATTCCCGGCTGAGGCGATGCGGGACGCTGAACCGCTGCTGCTGTCGCGCCTGTGCGACCGAGGGGCTTTTGTGCAGCCCACAAGCCAAGTGATCACAAGGAGAGGATGGAGAGCAAGCGCATCCCTGAAAAGCATGGCACTTCAAGCTGCTGTGGTTTTGGAGAGCCCTCCCTGTTGTGGCGGGAAATCGGGACATGAGGAGACCTTGCTCCGAATCAGGCGTTCCTTCCGAAGGTTCGGTACATACACGTGGAAAGTTGGCCAGCGCCAATGTAAGGTGTGAATGCTGTGCGGGTTGTTGCACTGGGCGTTGTTCTCAGTAGGCCGTAAGCATTCTTGTTGAACTCGCTGCGAGGCCACAGATTCGCCGTTCAGGTGAAGATTGCAACCACGTTCTTAAATGTTTTCACTCCTTGATTCCCATCAAGCACACCCCACGGTTGCGTTTGCGCGAGCCGACTCCTGGCCGGCTCTTTGCCCAGGACCCGAACAGGCTACCACACCCAGAGCTACGTGGAGCACTTGCGGCGCTCCAGAAAGCTGGCCTCTGCGTTGTCCAAGTGGGGTGTGCAAGTGGAGGAGTGGGTAGGATACAGGGAGAGTCGGTTGCAGCTGAAAGCTACGATATGGTGATGCTGCCAGGGTGCTGGGTACAACCCGGAAGGTTCTATGTATTCCGTAAAACGCTGGTTCAACAGGGTTCTGGAGCATGGTGCTGCCCAGTTTCTTTCGAGGATCGCGTAGCAACGCTGATGTGGAATACAGGCTGGGGCGGCCATGTGCTCTTGTCGGAGTGTCGGCCTGGCTCCAAGCAGCTTTGTTTGAGCATGGGGGGCGGCACCGGTCGAGATTCCACGTGTGCATTTTGCGTTGTTGCGGGATGGTTGAAACCCTGGCTGGCACACCTCAGGATTCCCAACTAATTGGTGCAACTGGTGTGGTTTTGTCCACCCATATGCCGCTCCATTTGGCCCCCTTCCAGCCCATTCATTCCAGCTGCATGGCCATGTCCTTTGAGGGTCTATGGGAATGAGCCGCGAGGATCCGGTGGCCGATTTGTTGTTTCGGATCATTCTCTCATTCCCTGGCTGAAAGAGCACATGTTGGTGAACCAATTGCTCTACAGGTGTCCCCCCCATCCTGAACAAATATTCGCATACCTTGTTACATCGTTGGGATCGTACCCGGCAGCTATGAAGTAGGAGGAACTTCCTTTTGCTGGACTGTTTACTCGAATTGCAGAAGAATCCGTTTTTGTTTTCTCTGCTCAATCGGTTCCGTACTCGAACTGATCAGCCCCAACCAGAATGCCCTCCCCCACACCCCAGTTGCCCAGTGGCACAGGTTTCCGGGCTTCCGCCACACCGTTACACATTGCCCTATACTTTGCCGCCATAGACTTCCTAGATTCCTGCTTCTCAAGCCTTAGGGGGCAGGCGATACCACGAGGATAGAGAAAGGTCCAGCCTGGCGGTGAGGCTGGCACTTTGAGTGCTACCACGCCGTTTCCTGCATGGGCGCGTGTCTGCACACGCTGAACCTGCGCCTCTCGGCACAATGGATCAATGGTTCCATGGCCTCAACACGCACTTGACGCTTTGGCTGTGGCTCGGTGTGGCTTTGGGCTGCGCAGGATTGAGCGCGGCAGACCTGAGCTACATCATAAGTCACGCGCAGGAGATTGGAGCGCCGGCGGTTTGTGAACCGTGGGGCAACCACCGCATTTAAGAGCTGCTTTGGACCTTGTGCCGTTGGCCTGACGGACAGGACAGGCTGATATTTGTGGATGCCATCCTCTTGGATTTGTTGAGCAAGGCCTTCCGTTGATCAATTGCATCAGGCGCAAAAACACAGGAGAATCAGGTGGTTGGTCAAGTGCGACAGACTGAAGCCTGAGTGGCACGACGATTTAAGGCCAGTAAAGGGAAAGCCATTTCCAGGGGGGGAGTGAAGCCATTGCAATCGATGCTTGGCAAGAGTCTTTCTAGGCTTTCCACGCCGCACAAGACGCATGGATTTTCAAAACGAGCATTTCGTGAAACCCTATCAGGTGGATGCTTCCAGCTTGGCGAGCATCGAGTTGTTCGTGTGCATCGGCGAGGACGCTGAGCCCGGCAGATGGGCCCAAACCACGGCGGCCCAACTGCAAAATTCGCTGAGCGATGAGCCACTTGCTGCCGTGTCACAGCGTGACGTGAATCCTGCCTGGCTTGTGCCGTACGCGTTTTTTATATTCGTGGCTAAGGATCCGTCGAAAACGCTGGATTATGAGGACTTCCTAGCTTCTGGCAGTGAGGTGTCTTGCCTGCACCCAGTTTGCCTGAAGGGCCATGTTGCTATTTGAAGCTTGATTCGCGTCTCTTTGGTTCAAGCGGCTGAGGATTTCGAGTGGCCCGTGGTGCCAGACAGCTGCACCATGGGCTTGTGCTATACCTCGGGCACCACTGGTCGACCCAAAGGCTGGACGGATCCTCGAGGAAATCCATGTTCACGGTTCACAGATGAATTCCCCCAAGGTGTGGTAGACATACATAGCATGAGTATTGCACCACTGCCTCGCCATGCGTTGCAGAACGCCACATTGGGCTGAAATGGACGCAGGTCTCAAGCCAAATGCATTGGGCTGGCGAGTTAGCGCCTCTCTTAGAAACTCATGTTCCCCAGAAATGAATTCAGTACTCGTAACGGCGTCGCAAGCAAAACATCTTTCATGCCTTGCTCACACAGCACCTGTTTCTTTCACTCAAATCAAATTACACGGCAGCCGGCAGCATAGCATTCATCCGTAGAAATGGTCATCGAGTCATGGTTCGCAGGCGCTTCCTACAGCCAGCGCTCCACATACCTCCACACCCTTATGATTGTGGGCGTGGATCAGACGCCCAGCAAGATGTCCTTCCGCATTCTTGGGATGTGTTTGGGTGCAATGGGGCACATGTTTGCCGGGCATCGTGATATTCAACTGCCAAAGCTCAGGCTTGCCATCTCTGGCGCGGAGGTGGTTATGCCGCGCCTCCCATGCATTAGATTCTTGCAAAGTCTGCAGGGTGAATGTGCTTTGGGCCAGTCATGGTATGGCAACCTTCGCTCAGCTTGTCAAACAGCCCAGACCTGCGTCTGCTGGCCCAAGGTTCGTTCCAATGTTCCACGTCCTCAGCTGGGGCATCCCCTTCGCCTTGCTGATGACGGGCGCCACTGCAGTTTTCACGTCCAATTTTACCGATCCAGGACAAACATGCTTTGATGGCACCTTCATTTGAGTCCAGCATCCCAAAGCATGCGCGGCAAGTTCTACTGACACTATTGAATCAGCATACTACACACCATGCGATGGGCAAGTCACACATATAACAGGTGTTTTGAGAAAGAAGGCTGCTGGCCTCCAACCCCGGTCGAACCTGCCCGAAAAAAGAAGAAGCTGAAACAATCAGCCGGAACATCCGCATTTATACAGCAAGCGAATGGCTGAATGTACGACCCTGGGCTAAGCTAAGCGACTAGGAACAAACAAAGGAGTGAGTCATGAGGGCTCGTGTCTTGCTCATGCAATGCGAAGTAATTGCCTACGGGTTTGCGTTACTAGCTTGCAAACATTTTGTAGGTGTGCATGGCTGATGCGTGAACCAACGGAAGCCGAAGCTGCAAGCCAGGGAGTTTGACAGTTTGACACACACTATCATGCTCAGGGTTGCATGGCGTCGGGAGGATCCATGCTGCAGACCATGGTTGACTGGAAGGTCCAGGCTGGTACCCCATGCTGGCGAGCTACGAATTGCACATGGCTTTCCGACTGCTTGGCTCAAGACGTTCTTCTTGTTTCCTTAGGACTCCCTTTTCTGAAAAGAGATGTCCGCCCCCCCACCTCCCCCTCCCCTTCACACAGAATTGCGCGATGATTCTGCATGCGCCGGAGTGGTCTTTCCGCCAGGTTTCCAGCGGCGTGCCCACAGTCTGGCAGGGCCTGCGAGCGCAGATCCAGCAACAAGGCGACTTGAGTGTCTCATGGAAGGCCAGAGATTCCACGGCCTCCCAATCCCAAAACTTTGGTGCATGTTGCCAAGGGATACTAGGACTGAACAACTTGTTGCCAACTAACGAATTGGTTTTCCGCATGAAACCACTAAAAGCGAGTCACTTTTCGCAGACCTTCGCAGATTTCGCCGAGAACAGCCGCGGTGCCCTGTGGCTTCGGGACGGATGCGCAGGCCTGGAGCCCTTGAAGCCCAAGATTTGGCTGCGGCGCCTCATCTGCGGCGGCTCGGCGCCGCCCGCGGAGATGATGCGCTGGTACCTGGCGCCTTGGCACGGTGCGCTGGCACGGGAGTGGGAACGCTTTGATTGACATGGGTCGAAAATGAAGCTACCAGGATATGGACGTTTCCATTTGCCAGGTTTCCATTGTAGGTACCTATTTTTTGGACTCACATCCACATGCGCAGAGGGGGATACAAGACCGCCCCACGTCAGCCGAAGAAATGGATGATGTGTCAGGCCTCTCCAGGGAACATGCAGGGTTCGCCTTGTTTTGCGTCTGTGTCTATGGGTGCGTTTGTTCGTTCGCACGCGTGTGGGTGCGCATGTTTGCATGTGGGCTTTCTCCGATCAGGATGAGCTGGGAGTTGAGTTCGTGCAAGCGGCTCGGAACAGATTAGCGTTATGTGGAGTGGCCCCGCAGCTCAGTCAGGCAAGAAGTGACTGGCGTGCATGTCAAACGGCTGCTTTTGCGGAGGTCTGGGGCATGACCGAGACCAATCCCCTTGGATCCATCGCGCGGAGAGTTAGCAAGATCAAGGATTTGGAAAAGAGTGCTGGCCTCAGAGATCTCTTCGCCATTTCACAGGCCAGGACTCCATGTCTTAGGTGTGGAAGAGTCCTTCACGAACGTGACAAAGGCGGGCCTGCCATGCCCAGGACCCGGACACTGCCTGGCTGACTCAAGGCTCTTGTCAGTGGAGAAATCTGGGAACCGCTGCTGTTGAGGGCTGAGTGTCCCGGAGCAAGGCCACCAGGGTTGAGAAGCGAAGGAATGGGTTGCGATCTTGGGAAGGCAGTAACATCGGTGCCTCATCGCGCCTTCGATGGGGCAAGGTGATCCAGTTCAGTTGTTAGGGCATGTGCCGCAAAGTGGCCGCAGCCTCTGACAAATGTGCCATTTTAGATACACAGGAGGTTTGGCGGCACCTTGAACCAGTTGACCTTTGTGCAACTGTGGAATGAAGCGTCCAAACGCAGCCACGTTTGAGTGCTCGGGCCAAATTGCATCTTCAATGCTTGAACTACTGTAGCCTCAAAAGTGCGAATGTTCCAGCCTGGTGAATTCAGGTGGCCGCTTAGCCAGTTTTTTCCTTTTTGATGAGAGGTCCTTGGCTGCTTTGAGGCGCATAATTTGCCGATCTGGTTAAACGAGCCCACCAGTGACAGTCCCTTACTCAGGATTGCTTACTTCGGCCTTGTGCATCCATGTAATACGCAATCAATGAACGTGAAACTCCCCCCCCTCCCCCCCAATTAGGGAGAATCTGCAAACCAGTTGGTGTGTGTATATACATATATTTTTACGTGTGTGTGTGCGGAGTGACAGAATGCCCTGTCACCACCATGTGCAGCAGGGGGCAGGAGCACCATGGCAAGTCTCCTGCCAACGAAGACACTTGCCATCGGTGGTGATACTGGGACTGATCATCCCAGCGTACCTGCATGTGTAAAGTGATGTTGCTGTCCTTTTGGCCCCCTTGGTTGCGGCGCTGTTTGTGCTTCTTGTTCTTTCGGGTAACGTTTTCGCCTCTAGAGAGAAACCGAGTGACTTGCAAGCAGAACTCAGCCGAGACTCATGAGTTGTACTCGAGACTCATCAGTTGTACTCGAAAGATTAGCACTCTCCATCTGGAGTTTAAGTGTGTACACCCCATTCGTGGGGAATCCTCGGGTGTACCCATTGTGTGACCTCGGGCCGGCTCTGTCGGAAAATTTGACCTCAACGTGCTTATCATAGAACAGCGGAATTTCACATTTAACCAGGAACGAGGTTTCACTAAAGGGAAGACAGCGGTCAGATCATAGAGACGTCTCACCACGGCTGCTGACGGCTGCTGACTTGAATTGCATTGGCTTGCAATTTGTTGGATTCGTTGCTCTCATCATAGCGGTTGATGGCTGCTGACTTGAACTTGCACTGACTTGCATTTGTCGGATTCGTTTCTCTCACCATTGCTGCTGATGGACGCTGACGTGAACTTGCATTGACTTGCATTTTGTCGGATTCGTTTCTCTCACCATTGCAGCTGGTGGCCGTTGACTTGAATTTGCATTGACTTGCATTTTGTCGGATTCGTTTCTCTCAAGGTTGAAGTGTGAAGGTTGTGAGTTGGTTGCGCCACCATGTCTCGACGTGATGATCGTGACAGATCCAGGACTCGGCGCAGACGTGATCGGAGTCCTTCTCCCCAAGCTCGTAAAGCACACCGACGTGAATGCAATGACCAACAGGTCTCGGAGGGCATGGATTGGAACAACCTGGTATCTTGGCAACACAATTCCGGCTACAACTCCGCCAACAGTTTCCCGATGATGCCGACCAATTATCAATCGATTCCGAACCCCACGCAGCAGTTCCATCATTCACCGATCAACTACATGATGCCGATTCCTCCAGAGCCCACGCCAACGAAGTTCATGACGCCCGTGATGCCGCCGCCGGTCACTCCCTCGCAACCTACACCATCACCTGGATACCCTGCAGCCCTGCCGGTTCGTCCTCAGAAAGCCTGGCTTACACCATCGGCTGACTGGACGCCTGGCGATGGCATGTTAGATGTCAATCAGCTCTATAACTTCAGCCTGCCCATGACGGTTGCCAGCACCCCGCACAGCAACCTACGTGACATGTCCGGCATGGACATTCGTGACGTTCGCCTGGTTCAGGTTATTCATGGGGGCCTCACCAACTGGCTGCTCCGACCGTTTGCTCACGGCAGATTCGTGACGTGGGAAGGCTTTCGCACTCGCACCGAAGCCTTACTTTGGAGTACCTGTTCCAAACTACTACGGCGATCACAGTCGATCAACCTGCTCACCTTGGATAAGGACCTTGCCAATTCGCTGGGGCTCAACCTCGACGACTTCAATCAGCGGATCAAGGTTCATGACCATTTGGCCAACTTGGTACTTCAGTTTCTTCAGCAACACCACGCAACTCTCACGCCTTCTACCCAGACGGATGACATGGTCAAGAAGTACAATGATCTAAATCGTGCTCATGAGTTGCTCCAGGCTCAGTATTCAGCATCGTTGCGCGCTTCGACTTCCCCCACGGTGCCAAGCCAGAAGGATGATGCGGAGTTGGTTACACCACCACCGGTCAATCACACACAATCCTCGTCACCTACCAGCTCCCTCCCTACGGCCAGCGCAGCGGCCCTTGATGGCAAGTCGTTTGATGGCGCGGCGCAAACCCGGATCATTCAGTCTCTTCACGGAGTTTCTTCACCGCCTTCCAAGCCGGCGGCGTCACAATTGCTCACCATGCACAGCGCGCCAGATGACGTCATCAAGTACTACACATGGACCAGTGATCAGCCACGCTTGTATCTCAAGCAATCGCCCACAACCACCACTTTGGCATCATTGGTCAATTGGGCCAATCACCCGTCCCGTCTGAATGGCAACAAGTCCTTGGATTCCATGGCGACGCAACTCCTTCAGGCGCGTCAACGCATGCCAAAAGGCGACGCACCTACGCTTGGGGCGATGGCGGCTTTGTGGGGACTGGAGCCCGGCTACCTCACCAAGCTCACTGACAAGGCGCTGAGTCACCTCATCGTGACCGCCCGCTTACTCAGTGGATGAGCAGTCCCTCTTGACGAACTTCGTTCACTTATGAGCCCGGAGCGGCAGCCGTGCCACGGTTGAGGAAAGGTTCAAAACTCGTCCGCCATCTTCTTGCTTTGCATTTGTTTGATCATGCGCTTGTCTGTGCTTGCGTTGTCTTGTGCGTGATATTCATTGCCGCTTGTATTCATGACGCCGCCACACTGTAGATTTCATTGGTTGCATGTTCACCATGTTGGCTGAGCTTCGCCGCTGTGGAATCTATGATGATGTTGCACAATGGCTTTCTCTGGACACCTTTCTACACTCGTTGACAATGTTCTCTACGTGCTGGCAATACTGCTTTCCTGGACTACCACCACCGTCGATACCAGCAGATGAATACGAGTCAACTGCACAACTACCTTGGTTGGGCCTTATTCTGGAAGTATTATAGTTGTGGTCCGGATTGCACTTCAGATTCCGACTCACGCCATGTCGCAATCTCACCACACTGTGGCCAACAGGTATGAACTTCACAGGTGCCGGTGCACGGCCTATTTATTGATCAGTTTCTTGCAGCGTCTCATTTCTCAAGATCATGGATACGTTCCACCGTTCTTCGAAGTTCTTCACTTCTACAAGACATCTCTTTTGTGCGAAATTATGCATTCCACTTTTGCAGACACGAGACACCTTCGCTCATTACGGACACGGTTTCCGGACCTCTATGACTTCATTCACGATCCAGGTCATCATCAACAACCATGCGTTTACATCCGACTTTCTCCATGGCACACGCCATACTACGTTGGTGCGACTGATCAGGACGTTCTACGACGTGAACACTCACGCAGTCGCAAATTTCTACAACTACTTCGGGGACGCCATGCCTTCTTCGAACCTGCGCTTCACTACTGGAAGCGCTCCAACACTTACTGGCTTTTCTGTGCCATTCCGGTTGAGATCAAACTTCCCATTTCCTCGGTTTGGGTCCAGGAAAGCAAGTGGCAATACCTGCTACGTCCGCATTTGAATGCACCCTGGGTACATAGACTTCTTCGCAAGGTGGGCTTCCGGGAGCATCTCGTCGACTTTCGACGTCATTCGTTGTCGTCTCCCACCTCGCTTGGTCTACACAAACGTTTTCGACGACGACTACATCCGGATCTTCAACGGCAATTACGACCTGAAATGTTGGATGACATTCAAGCGCATTACTCCACTCTCTATCAGCTGGGATCCAACACAGGCGCATCGTTCCAAGCCATGCGAGACCTACTGTCGGCGGCTTTTCCTCCCACTCAGCTCTACTACTTCCTGCGACTCTCCGTCTTTGTCAACGAGCCCTTTCGCTCCAAGGCACAGAAACTCCTCGCCCAGGTGTTGCGCAAACGACAGCTCCAATCACCCAGCACTTTGACACAACTACTTCTACCGCCTCTACATGTACGGCATTGGAAAGCTCAACTTGGCACGTGGTTACAAAGTTGGGTCGCTTCTCATCGTGACTTGTTTCCCTCCCTATTTCTTCCAAAGATCCGGGTGGTGGAAACTCGCAGCGCCACTTTGGGAGACAGGATCTACAACTACCGCACATGGCAACGCAGATGGACTCCTGACGTATCTTTTCCGTGTCGCTGTTCGGACATTGATGATCACCGCCTACACCGTGCGCGTGAACATGCAGTGATGGTGGATGAGTTCTCACGCATCAATGCGGACATCGACATGGATATCATGGCCGCGTCTATGAAGGATCAGTATTTCGGCGATGTTGACTTGTTGCATCAGCGTTTTACCACACAGCTTCGCAAACTAGCTCGTCGGTGGCATGTACATGGCTCCAGTCTTCTTACTGATCTACGGCCTGTTTTGACTCAATTGAGTGAAACCCATCGATCCAACCTTCAAGATCGTGCTTATTGGTCATCGACATCACTACAACGAACCGTGGCTTCTCTGTCCTCGTGGGTTGTAATTCCCGCGGATCATTTCCCCTCTCGTGCACATGTGATATGCCCTTCGTTGTTCGCCATACTGATGCACAAGACCTTTTGCTCGGGAGAAGTCTTTTCGCTGTGTCGGGAATCTGCAGCATCCTT